CTGGAACTAGCTTGCAATGGAGGCTCGTGCGAGGGAATAACATTAAAAAGAGAGAAATAAGTTTTTTTACACTTGATTCTTCAAGCAATCACCAAACATTTTTGATTATGTGTACTCTTTCAAGTGTTAAGAACGTAGTCTATATCCTGAGAAAATGACTCTGAAACCCTGTAGCCTGTCACTGTACTTCATGAAATGAGTGTTTCATTATTGAAATGTTAAATGCCATTCCATTCAAACCAAATGATCATTTTGTTTACATCACAGCACATGATTGTTGGTGTTTTTGTATAGTTGTTTTGTGCTGTAATTCAACTGGTTTGGCTGTGTATTCTGATTTTCAAACATTTTTCTCTTCCACAGAATTAGTTGAGAATTTTGATGAGCCCTCTAAAGCAGAAGGTGTTTAAAGAGACGTTGAGTGTGGTTTGGATGACTCAACACCATCTACTGATGCCACCACACTAGTGCTGTGGCCTACAAAACTATAAACAAACCTTGTAGCCTTTTTTCATTGTATATGTCATAGTTGACTAGACAAATTTTGTAGGTGTTCTGTGCGATCTTTGGTGTTGAGTTTCTTGATACACCAGCAATTTACTGGGCTGTCAATAAACTAATGGGAAACTTGCTCCTCCTGTTTTGTTGTGATGTGTAGTGTGTAATACATTCTGCTACATATGGGTTGTTGACAAAGCTTGTTCAGTTAAGATGGCTGTATGGGCCAATTTTTTTTTTTTGCATGTTTGTGGACCGAGATGGAGTCGAGGTCCGTAAACTCTCAAAAAGAAAAAAAAGAACGAGGCCAATATCCTGCCAACCTGTACAGGCCATTCTCATGCTGCAAAAAACACAGGCACGCAAGGTGTGCAAGAGTTACTTTTTTGTTAATTAAAAGCCCCTGGAGGTAGGAACACTCAGTGGACTCTTAACTGTTATGATAAGGTTAATCCAACAAGTTTGTCTGGCTACGATGTACAGCGAAAAAGAAAACAACGCAAGGATTTGTTTCACCCTAGGAAATGTGATATCAAGCCTACTTTTATCAAGGTTTGATTTTAACTATCGATCAGAGGCTTCGTTTATTAGAACTACATGAAACTGTTCCCAGCAAGACAACTAAACATCATGTAGTCTTTAATAGTAGCTAACGGTAAACGGCAGATAGGTGCTGATTTTGGATAATTTTCCTGACTCATTTTATAACGAGACCCAATTTAATTATAACAGTGTCACGCAATAGCATAGTCTTACTCTGTTTCCAGCAGTGATCGTAGTTTTTTTCGGTTTTGAATTCTGAACTCTTTTGAAACCCACCCACAAAGTCCTGGGCTTAACCACAGTAAACGCAGCATAGCCCGGACCCGTTGACTAAGACGTATTAAAAGAAAAAAAAAACTCAAAAATGTAAAGTAAACAGAATACAAACGTCACACTTTGGTAGCATTACGAATGAGGCCCTGATCTGATCCGTGGTGGTATAGATATTGAGCATAGACCCAACAATTAATTTTTGTGAGTTATATACCTGTTTGCCTATTCGCAGAAAATGCTCTTTAGAGATTAGTTTTTAATTAGTTTTTAATCAGCGCCTGAAACGTCATTCAACTGCAGATTATACAATAATCATGTCAAGGACACTCAAGGTCACAGGTAATCATGCCATGTATGACCGCGGTACATGATTTTTAAGGGTAATCATGTCAAGTTTGCGCACTTTGTAACTGTGTTGCTTGCTGTCAGTGAAGAAGTAAAAACATGACTTCCATTTTTTTTTCGTTCGGTGTATAATAAAATAATTATTAGATTCGGTTTTTGTAATATCCAGAATAATCAAGGTCTCGGTAAGGGTCATCGGCCTCAGCCTTCGGCTTCAGCTGATAACCCCTACTTCGACCTTGATTATACCAGATATCACAAAAACCTCATCCAATAATTGTTTATTATTTGTTGTCAAATTTGATTTAAACGCAAACGAGTTCCGTGAAACAGACGGCTCTGCCACTAATTAATAAAATAAAATGCAAAAAACAGCCTGTCACAAATAGCTACAAATGCTCGTCTCCAAGTTCTACCTCCCAGTACTGGCAAAAAATATAAATAAGGTGTCTTGAATCTGTACAGCGTGGTTGAAACTCGTAATTCCAAAATCAATAGCAACAAACGCCGTCGCTTTTTTTTTATACCTGTCTTTCGAAGCCAAAATTGATTGCAACCCGAGAGTTTCCAGAACCACCCTTCACAGGAATGTTACATTAGGAACGAATGGGTACACAGGAATATCTATCAGAGGATTTTGCGATAACCAACATAAGGCAAAAACAAACTACCTAATACATGGACGGTCTGCAGGTCGGTGACTGGAGAGGCGGTGGGAAAAGATTTTCGACTTAGGGACAAAGTAGATGTTAACAGGATGACGATGATCGCAGTAAGGGCCGCGTGTAACAGCTGATAAGGGACGGACCATTAGAAAAGTGACAGGGGGCTGGGAGTTTTTCAATTTTTTTCACTTCCACTGCCGCTGCAGGAATGTTTTTGCGGGGTCAAGTCCCCTGCGAGATTTTTTTTGCGGGGGCGGGGGGAAGGGGGGATTTTATATTGACACTCCCCACTATCTAAATCCACTAAATCCACTAAACTTCTTTTCACTGTCCCTACTGTGAACTCTGTGACATACGGTGAACGTGCCTTTTCTTCCTCTGCACCTATATTATGGAACAGTCTACCGGATTCTGTTAAAAATACATCTCTTTCGTCTTTTAAATCTGCCCTCAAAACATTCTTGTTTCGGAAATCTTACTTCTGATTCATTTTATTTTATGAGAAACTGTATTTTAATTAATTATTTTCATTTATTTTATTTATTACTGTTATTAGAAATATTTTATAGGATTTAAGGTGGGGGTACACCCAAAAATCAGGCCATTTTTCAAACAATTTTCACATGTAAGATATTATTCCAA